CACAAGCACTGGTCTGAGATTGTACGGATGTGCAAGATGGCCTGCCTCAATATGTGAAGTATAAACCTGACATTAGCACAGACCAAACTTAAACCCCAGGAGAGTAACAATGTATTCTAATATCAGGATAATATATATATACCAGCTGTTTGAGGAGATATTTCTAGTTTCTTATCTTCTCAACATACTTTTCCTAAACTTCAAAAAGAGTATAAATAGATACCTATACATGTATGTAACAACTAAGCACTTTGGGTTTGGTTTTCCTATCAAAAACAATCATTATAATCATGTGAAGACTTGATAATAGGTTAGTTAGAGATGTGGCTAGAGTCATTCACTGTAAATGAAGTATTATTTTAGCTAAAATGATCAATGATTTTCTTATACCACATTAATGTCAGAATTCTAAAATTGCTCAAAGCTATATCCCCAAATGTTCTATTCACTCACAAGATTGTTTGATTTCATGGGAGAGTAGGACAAAAATTTACCATCATAACAATACATACATATCATTCACCTAGTGGCTTTAAGGTTATTTTTACAAACAACCATTTATATAGGGCTAATTATAACCTGTCAAAAATATTCATAACTTGTATAAATTCTAAAGCAACATCAGATCTAAGGTCATCCTTGTAGATTACAGCTTTAATTCTAGATTTCGAAAAACCTTGGGTCAATTTCTCTAAGAATTCATTAAATAAGGTAAAAATCTGCCATAGGGATTACAAAATCTTTTAACAACAACTCTCTCTCAAGTGACAAAATTAATATTGGTAATACAACAAGAGGGCCATGATGGCCCTGAGGTCGCTCACCTGTATATAGCCCCCCCCCCCGGCCCAATTTTTACCCAAGGGCTTTTATTTGTTTATTTGAACAGACTTGGTAGACACCCATAAGAAGATGTTTCATGCAAAACATCTAAGTTCTAGCTCATTGGGTTTTTTAAAAGAAGATTTTTTAAGTTTTTACTATACACATAGAGTAAAAAACAATGACACCCCTCGGGCAGGGCCAGTTTTGACCCCTGGGCTTTTATTTGAACAAACTTTGTAGATATTTACTTAAAGATGTTTCATGCTTAATATCTAAACTCTAGTTATTTGGGTTTTTTCAAAGAAGATTTTTAAGTTTTTGCTATGTATATAAGGAAAATCAATGACCCCGGGGCGGGGCCAGTTTTGACCCCAGGGCTTTTTATTTGAACATACTTGGTAGACACCCATTAGAACATGTCTCATGCTAAATATCTTAGCTCTAGCTCTTTGGGTTCTTTAAAAGAAGATTTTATAAGTTTTTACTATATGCATATAAGGAAAATCAATGACCCCTGGGGAGGGGCCAATTTGGACCCCAGGGGTTTTATTTGAACAAACTTGGTAGACATTCACTAGAAGATGTTTCATGCCAAATATATAAGCTTTAGCTCTTACAGTTCTTTAAAAGAAGATTTTTTAAGTTTTTACTATATGCATATAGGGAAAATCAATGACCCCCTGGGGCGGGGCCAATTTTGACCCCAGGGCTTTTATTTGAACAAACTTGGTAGACATTTACTAGAAGATGTTTTATGCCAAATATCTAAGCTCTAGCTCTTACAGTTCTTTAAAAGAACATTTTTTAAGTTTAAAACTATATGCATATAGGGAAAATCAATTACCCCCCAGGGCGGGGCCAATTTTGACCCCAGGGCTTTTATTTGAACAAACTTGGTAGACATTCACTAGAAGATGTTTCATGCCAAATATCTAAGCTCTAGCTCTTTGGGTTCTTTAAAAGAAGATTTTTTAAGTTTTTACTTTATGCATATAGGGAAAATCAATGACCCCCTGGGGCGGGCCAATTTTGACCCCAGGGCTTTTATTTGAACAAACTTGGTAGACATTCACTAGAAGATGTTTCATGCCAAATATCTAAGCTCTAGCTCTTACAGTTCTTTAAAGGAAGATTTTTTAAGTGTTTACTATATGCATATAGGGAAAATCAATGACCCCCCGGGGCGGGCCAATTTTGACCCCAGGGCTTTTTATTTGAACAAACTTGGTAGACACTCACTAGAAGATGTTCCATGCCAAAAATCTTAGCTCTAGCTCTTACAGTTCTTTAAAAGAAGATCTTTTAAGTTTTTACTATATGCATATAGGGAAAATCAATGACCCCCGGGGGCGGGGCCAATTTTGACCCAGGGCTTTTATTTGAACAAACTTGGTAGACACTCATTAGAAGATGTTTCATGCCAAATATCTAAGCTCTAGCTCTTAGGGTTGTTTAAAAGAAGATATTTAAAGATTTTTCTTTCGGTTGCCATGGCAACCAGAGTTCTGCATGGAATTAAATTCTTTGAACAATTTTTAAAGGTGACCACCAAAGGAACATTCCTGTGAAGTTTGGATGAAATTGGCTCAGTGGTTTATGAGGAGATGTCATTTAAAGCAAAAGTTTACGGACGGACGACGGACGGACGACGGACGGACGGACGGACGGACGCCGGACGAAAAGCGATCACAAAAGCTCACCCTGTCACTTTGTGACAGGTGAGCTAAAAACTGTTGAAAAGGATGTCAGATGGCAAGAGGACGTCATTAGCTTATACTTTAGAAGATTCATAAATGATTGAAATTCTTAATTAAAACAAATTTGATCTACAACTGGTAGGCAATTGCTGATGTTTTGAGAGTATTAAGGCAAGTGTTTAATTTCATCAAAACTATGTAATACTAACTAAGCACATTAATTAAATTACATTAGACATACCCTTTGTGTCATTCATCAAGCATTAATCCAGTCTGTGAAATTCTAAAATCTACCATTTTCTTTTGAGTGAAAAAAAAACAACAACAAAAATTGACACATCAAATGAATTTAAATTGAGTGTAGCAGTCAAATTTTCTGTACCAGTCTAACTTCAATAAACAGGAAATGGTTCCTACTCTCCAATGATTCATTAAAAACATATGTTTCTGTGCCAAAGGCTATAGTCTGGTTCCAGGCATTATTTATTTTTATCCCATTTCCAAATTACACTGAAGTTAATTTTGGGAACCAGTTAACAGCCTGGGAGAAAAACCAGTTACCATGGAAACCAGTGACTACAAACTTTTATCAATGCATGCTGTTTTTATATGTTTTCCAATATATCTTGGAATTTATATTGAAACTGTTTATTTTGACATCAAAATATTTGTATGTAAATATACATGTAATGAAAGGGAGATAATTAAAACTTTCAAGTTTTTTTTTCTTGTAAAAAGTCAAAATATGTTGTCTGCTGCACTGGCTTCACTGACATCATTGTGGTAGTAAAGAGATCAATATCATGTATTGTGTTGCCCTGATGAGAAAATATCATCAGACAGTCACCAAGCCTTGTCTAAACATCTTAACCTTGTGACAAAATATTGATGATAATAACATCAAGTGAACATATTTCATGTTTATAGACTTACATTATTTATTCTCCTTTCTAAAGGCAATCAGTCCTACATTGTTGTCTTTGATAATGAATTCTGTATGTACTACATTCAAATAATCTTTATATAGGCTTGTAATATGTCTATTTTTATGTTTATTAAGGCCTTGTCAAAAATATGATTTTGCATTATATGTATTATCTTCGATGCTTTGATGTATTGTCTTAATAAGCTACCTTCATTAAATACAGAGTTTATTGTTATTATTAACCCACAGTGGGCAAACTTTAACACTAGCCTTATTATTGAGTTTGAAAATGTGTAAAGTGGCCTAGAAACTCAGTGGGCAGAGCTGCGTAAGAGTATTTCCAGTTTGCTGGGTTAAAGTCCTGATCAGGCGCCATATTTCACAACCAGTAATATTTAACTATTAAAATCTGTTTAAACAAATACTAACTACCCATTCCAAATATAATGTTTTACTAGAAAACTTCTGACCCATATAGTACACCATAGTATCAAAATATTTCCTTTTGTTTTAATCAATAAAACTGCAGCCCACGAGCCAATAACTGTCAAGCAACAGTTACTGTATTCTGCCTTCCTATATCTGCCATATAAGAGCATGTTACAACATTTTACAACTCACAGATGCCTTAAAACTTAATTACTTCTAAAATAAGCAGACCATTTGTGATGTCTGTAACTCCCGGCCTTCTTTTAGTCACATTTAGACACATTTAGACATTTTCATGATGAGTAACATTGATTAGATAGCCTACTTTCATTACAAAATAAGACTGATATAAAAATAAAGTCATAATTCCTCTTAAAATACCCACACAGAAAATGTAATAAGCAATATAATATATTGAGAACTTTTTTCTTATTTTTTTTCTTTTTATTAAAGAATGATAGTATTAGAACATGGAATATTTACTTCAGTACTCAATATACATTTGTACTTATCTTTTCTTCATAAAAAGGGTTGCTTTTTCAAGAGAACATTTTAGTTCTATTAATCTGGAATTTTTACAATGAAAGTAAATAAGACCATGTCAATTTGTCAATAAATGTGCAAAAGATAAAGTAAAACTTTTTTTTTAATGAAGAGTACATAATATTATATATAATTTATTCCATGCATTGCCAATATGCATTTATTCATCATCTTGAAATGGTATTTGAAGAAACCATTGATTGATGACTTGATGTTTAACACTGAAGATTAAAAGTGCATTCACCTGATATTGACATACTTTAAGTCTGAGATATATCTGATCCATTTTTTAAATTTCTTTTTTTTTCTTCTGTGAGAAATGTGTCATGGTAAAGAATTGTTCACAAATTAGGGGAGGGAACGTGAAAGCCGGGTAGAAGGTTAGTCAGAAGAGCCTCGGTATGGTATTTGAAGGTCCCCTGTTCTAGTCCTAAAGGTCAGACTGCCAACTTTCTCACCCTATGACAAACCCATAATCATTTTAATCAGCATAGATACAAAGTTAATTGAATTGTACAACCAACAGAAAAAGGCCAAAACAGACTTTCATGGGAAAAATAAAATTTATCAAAAAAAAATACCTTTGCATAGTTTTCTAGTTCACCGAGCCATTGACTAAGTTGTGACTCCGAATCTGGATCGTCCACATCACTGTCCGGTTCAATTTCCGGTCCATGTCGGTAATCATCCCCTAACTCCATTCTGAAACAGAAGATAAATAATTTGGCTATTATTGCTTTTATTTAACAAGGGAGCTAACTCCAGAGACTCTAACTACATGAGAAAAACTCCTGGACAGTAAGAAATTAATCAACATAAACAAACAGACTATTTTCTTTGTAGCCAAATGGAATATGTTTTTCTATCATGTAAATTTTGAGCATAATCCAACAAGGATTGCCCCCCTTTATTTAAAAATAAAATATTTACATTGGTAAGTGATTCCATTAACTAAACATTCAGTCCCAACTATTCATCATTAAAAATTCAGGTCTACAAAATTTTAACACTTTTAAGAATTAAAGTAAAAAAATAGTTCATCTTAATAAATTCTCATTTTATAGGACAAAAATTACTTGTAAGCAATATTGGAAAAATTTCATCTAAATATGGCTTGCATATTTTTTTCAAATCCAAGATTTTAACTAAACTCATAAAAAAAAGGCTGCCTTCGCAGAAATAAAAAGACCATTAAAATTCTCAGATTAGAGAAACCATTTTCTTAATTTACCTTTATATTTGATATGGCAAAAAGGTACAAGTCCCACTCTCATTATTAAATTATTCCATGTTATTTTAAAATTTTAACGATGCAAAAATCCTCAACTAATTTCCATATTCCACACAAAGTCTAAAAATAACTTTCGGAGATGTCACAATAAAAATAAAAACAAGTCCTTAAAACAGGAATACATTCCTACATGCCACATTCCGTTGACATATTTAATGTCTTAAAGTTCTGTCACACAAATTCAATTACTGTTTTCCTTTACTGACATGTCAATCTTATTCTACCATATTAGTCCAATAACAAGTGTTAGGTTAAATAGCAATTGATTACAAGGGGCAATTGATTATTTTGTTTTAAGGACATTTACTTCTATTGACTTGACACAAACATGTCAAATGACCATATGTTTATTTTCTAGGTCATATTTAAGTAGTTTTTATTGACTGCGGATGGGGGGAGAAAACCAATTCATTAATACGTGGATAAGTGGATGATATTCAAAACCACCTGACCTGGCCTTATATTTGTGTTGTTTTTATAAAGTGTGTTAATTATTGACTATTATTGTTATAATATAAACACATGTTGACTGTGACAAATAACATGAAAAAATGTTAAAACATGACAAACACACCATGAATATATGTCCTTGACAACTTAAATATCTAAATATATACTTTTCATTAATCATATATATTATATCTAGAAGAATGTATTTAAAAGGCCATGGCTTTGAGTTAAAATGTAACTTTAAGTTGCTAAATTTTTTCGTTAAATTCATTTAAATTTTTCTAAATGACTGGTGTCAAAAAACGTACTCCAATTCTCATATACACTCTTATCCTATTATTTTATGCACCCTTTTAAACTCTTGGAAAAACGTTACTGCACATTGATGCGATGTCAGTTGCGTTATACAAGCATATTATATAAAAAGACATGCTAAATGTTAGTGTAACAATACATTAGCATCCTTTTTACAGTGAACAGTTCTTATTTTAGATATATATAATTAGAATACAATATTGGTGAAGCTTCATTTCTAAATTTATTGAACTCGAGGCAGTAATCTAGATTTATATCCCTGTTAAAGTGAAAGTCTCTTCAGAATTATCTTCAGAATACACAGGAAGATTGATCAAGTTTTCATTGATGTTGCCAATTATACTCTCCTCTTTTACTATCACCAATAATTGACATCCTATTTCTACAGATTAAATTTTATTGAGTAAACCTAAAAATCATTCTTTAGAGAAAATTAAATTATCTCCCCTTACTTATATGAACTGTTAGGCCAGTGTCACAATCAATGAGCTGATAGGCCAGTGTCACAATTATTAAGCTGATAGGTCAGTGTCACATTTATTCAGCTGATAGGTCAATGTCACATTCATTAAGCTGATAGGCCAGTGTCAAAATTATTAAGCTGATAGGTCAGTGTAACATTTATTAAGCTGATGGGTCAGTGTCACATTCATTACGCTGATAGGTCAGTGCCACAATCATTAAGCTGATAGGTCAGTGTCACATTTATTCAGCTGATAGGTCAATGTCACATTTATTAAGCTGATAGGTCAGTGTCACAATTATTAAGCTGATAGGTCAGTGTAACAATTATTCAGCTGATAGGTCAGTGTCACATTTATTAAGCTGATGGGTCAGTGTCACATTCATTAAGCTGATAGGTCAGTGTCACATTCATTAAGCTGATAGGTCAGTGTCACATTTATTCAGCTGATAAGTCAGTGTCACATTTATTCAGCTGATAGGTCAGTGTCACATTTATTAAGCTGATAGGTCAGTGTCACATTCATTAAGCTGATAGGTCAGTGTCACATTCATTAAGCTGATAGGTCAGTGTCACATTCATTAAGCTGATAGGTCAGTGTCACATTCATTAAGCTGATAGGTCAGTGTCACATTTCATTCAGCTGATAGGTCAGTGTCACATTTATTCAGCTGATAGGTCAGTGTCACATTTATTCAGCTGATAGGTCAGTGTCAAATTCATTAAGCTGATAGGTCAGTGTCACATTATTAAGCTGATAGGTCATTGTCACATTCATTAAGCTGATAGGTCAGTGTCACATTCATTAAGCTGATAGGTCAGTGTCACATTCATTAAGGCAATAGGTCTGTGTCACATTTATTCAGCTGGTAGGTCAGTGTCACATTTATTCAGCTGATAGGTCAATGTCACATTATTCAGCTGATAGGTCAATGTCATATTCAAGTCAGCCGATAGGTCAATGTCACATTATTCAGCTGATAGGTCAATGTCATATTTATTCAGCTGATAGGTCAGTGTCACATTTATTCAGCTGATAGGTCAGTGTCACATTTATTCAGCTGATAAGTCAGTGTCACATTCATTAAGCTGATAGGTCAGTGTCACATTCATTAAGCTGATAGGTCAGTGTCACATTCATTAAGCTGATAGGTCAGTGTCACATTTATTCAGCTGATAAGTCAGTGTCACATTCATTAAGCTGATAGGTCAGTGTCACATTCATTAAGCTGATAGGTCAGTGTCACATTCATTAAGCTGATAGGTCAGTGTCACATTCATTAAGCTGATAGGTCAGTGTCACATTTATTCAGCTGATAAGTCAGTGTCACATTCATTAAGCTGATAGGTCAGTGTCCCATTCATTAAGCTGATAGGTCAGTGTCACATTATTCAGCTGATAGGTCAGTGTCACATTTATTCAGCTGATAAGTCAGTGTCACATTCATTAAGCTGATAGGTCAGTTTCACATTCATTAAGCTGATAGGTCAGTGTCACATTCATTAAGCTGATAGGTCAGTGCCACATTCATTAAGCTGATAGGTCAGTGTCACATTATTCAGCTGATAGGTCAGTGTCACATTTATTCAGCTGATAGGTCAGTGTCAAATTCATTAAGCTGATAGGTCAGTGTCACATTCATTAAGCTGATAGGTCATTGTCACATTCATTAAGCTGATAGGTCAGTGTCACATTCATTAAGCTGATAGGTCAGTGTCACATTTATTCAGCTGATAGGTCAATGTCACATTTATTCAGCTGATAGGTCAGTGTCATATTTATTCAGCTGATAGGTCAATGTCATATTTATTCAGCTGATAAGTCAGTGTCACATTCATTAAGCTGATAGGTCAGTGTCACAATTATTAAGCTGATGGGCCAGTGTCACATTCATTAAGCTGATAGGTCAGTGTCACATTTATTCAGCTGATAGGTCAGTGTCACATTTATTCAGCTGATAAGTCAGTGTCACATTCATTAAGCTGATAGGTCAGTGTCACATTCATTAAGCTGATAGGTCAGTGTCACATTCATTAAGCTGATAGGTCAGTGTCACATTTATTCAGCTGAAAGGTCAATGGCACATTTATTCAGTGTAACATTTATTTATCTAATACTTAGTGTGACACTGGACCAGTGTAAAAGTTTATATTATTATTACATTACTGATATGTTTGTAGGAATCAGCTTTCCTGAGGTATTAATGACATTTACCAACTAATATAGGTTAGCATGATATTTATACAAATGTTCAGTCAATTTGTGACACAATATTTTGCAGATAGGTCAATGTCACATTTATTGGCCATCGTTGTTCCATTTCCTGGACTGCTGCATAAAATTTACCAGCAATATTACCCTGTCCAAACAAAACGGTTGAAAGGCAGACATATGACCCACAAAGCAAAATGTTATCATGGGTGTATCATTTTGTAAACTATATCATGAATCTATTGATTTTGTTTGTCCCTTACAGTCTAGCATTTAGATATTATGTCACAATAATAAACTATTGATCAGGGATTGTCTTTGATCCAATTTATACTCACAGACACACAGCACTCCCTGTCCAGTAAAATAACTCCTTTTTTCCCAATATCTTACACTCTGTCGACAAAATAGTCCTGCAAGAACTTCCTTTACATCCAGTTACTAATCTTTTTCACTTTTACCACCAATATTTTTATATTTCTGTAACAAAATCTCCCAAAATTGACTGCAAAGATGTGCATTATGAAAATTGTTCAGTTTTTAAAATATCATGAAAATAAAATTAATCCTTCCTTGCAAAAAACAAAACAACAACAACAAAACAATAAAATCAAATTCAAACTTTAATCCCAGGAAATTTTATCTCATGCAATTCTCATAGAATTTCCAGTTTTCTTGGCTTTGAAGATTTTTTTATTCATTATCAAAACGATCTAACATTATTTTAGCACAAAAACTTTGCTTGAAAATTTCGTTTTTTTATGAGTTTTGATACATTGTAATCCTTATGGCAGCAGCAAAAAGCACAAAAAGGCTGGGGTGTAATAAAATAAGTGTCTCTACATCAACATTTGCTGAGTTAACAAATCAATATTGTCTGTACAAGAAAATTTTTTATAGCAGAAAAAACAACACATCATAGATAATATAGATCATTATACGATACTACCATCATTACACAATATAAACAT